CCTCCAAGAGGGCCTCCAGGAAGGCCAGACAATGCCAAACACACTGATGTTCGTAAGGTTGTTGAAGGATTTTGACATTTGCTTCTTTTCGGCCTTCTGACGGCCCGAGACGGCCCAAGAGCACCCAAAGATCGCCCAAAGATCGCCCAAGAGGCTTCCAACGGCCCAAGAGGCCCCCAAGACGGCCCCAAGAGGCCCTCAAGACGGCCCAGGAGGCCTTTAAGACACCCAAGATGGCCTCCAAGACGGCCCTGGAGCATTACAAGAGGGCCCCAAGTCGGCCCAGAGAGGCACCCCAAACGGCTTCCGACGGCGTCGGACGGGCTAGGAGCCCACCAAGACAGCCGAAGATGGCACTAAGATGGCCCTAGACGGCCCGAGAGGCCTCCAAGAGGGCATCCAGGAAGGCCCGAAAATGCAAAAATCATTGATTTCCCCTGAGTTTTATCAAGGATTGTGGCATTTGCTTTTTGTTTGGCTTCCGACGGCCCGAGACGGCCCAAGTGCCCCCAAAGATCGCCCAATAGGCCCAAGACGGCCCCAAGAGGCCCCTAAGACGGCCCAAGAGGCCTCCAAGACGCTCAAGATGGCCTCCAAGACGGCCCAAGAGCCCTCCAAGACGTCCTCCAAGAAGGCCCGAAAATGTCAAAATGGCCTCCCGACGGCCAAGATGACCTTCACGATGCCCACGTGTTCCCCGAAGGCTTTTCAAACCGATTCGGGGAACACATGATCCGATAGCTTGGCAGGTCTGGCCTCAACGTTCGGCCACATAGGCGCTTCCAACAAGGCAGGGGGCGGCGGTGGTTCGCCGTAGGCGTCTTCGATCCGCCGCACCCTGTCGGTTCATCGCAGGGGTGCCTGGCGTGCTGGATTTCTTACGGTTTGGTTTTGGTTCCTTTCCCAAAAAAAACTCCCCCTGGGGCTTCGGCGCGTCCCGCCGGCTGCCTGCCTCGTCGGCTGTTTCGCTCAAGATGGCCCAAGATGGCCCCCAAGATGCCTCCAAGACGGCCAAGATGACCTCCAAGACGGACGGCTAAGATGGCCTCAAGACACCTCCAAGACGGTCCAAGATGGCCTCCAAGTCCGCCCAAGATGGTCCAAGATGGCCTCCAAGACGGCCCAAGAGGGTCCAAGATACTTCCAAGTTCACCCAAGAAGCCTCCAAGACGGCCCAAAGACGGCCAAAAGGTCTCGAAGAGGTCCTTCGGGAGGGCCCGAAGAGGCCAAAATCATTGATTGCCCCTCGGTGTTGTAAGGATTTGGGCATTTGCCTCTTCTCGGCATTCCGACGGCTCAAGGCGGCCCAAGAGGCCGCCAAGATCGGCCCAAGATCGCCCACGAGGCCTCCAAGAGGGCCCCATGACGGCCCAAGAGGCCTCCAAGACGGCCCCAAGAGGGCCCCAAGACGGCCCAAGCGACCTACAAGACGCACAAGATGGTTTCCAAGAGGGCCCCGAAGCGCCCCAAGAGGACCCCAAGTCGGTTCAGAGATGCCCCCAAGACGGCTCCCGACGGCGTCAGACGGGCCAGGAACCCACCAAGATGGCCGAAGTTGGCTCGACGCTGGCCCAAAACGGTCCAAGAGGCCTCCAACAGGGCCTCCAGGAAGGCCAGAAAATGCCAAACACACTGATGTTCGTAAGGTTGTTGAAGGTCTGGCTTGGCAGCTCGGTCGGCCCAAGAGCCTCCAAGACGTCCTCCAAGGCCCGAAAGGGTCAAAATGGCCTCCCGACGGCCAAGATGACCTCAGGTCTGGCCTCAACGTTCGGCCACATAGGCACTTCCAAAAAGGCAGGGGGCGGAAGTGATTCGCCGTAGGCGTCTTCGATCCGCCGCCCCCTGTCGATTCATCGCAGGGGTGCCTGGCGTGCTGAATCCTGTCGGTTTTGGTTTTGGTTTTTTTGTCCAGAAGACCTCCCCCTGGCGCTTCGGCCCGTCCCGCCGGCCACCCGAAAATTTCACACAATCCCGGAAAAAAAAACGCCAAGACGGCTCAAGATGGCCTCCAAGATGGCCACGCTGGCCCAAGATAGCCTCCAAGATGGTCCAAGATGGCCCAAGATGGGCTCCAAGTTCGCCCAAGATGGTCCAAGACGGCCTCCAAGACGGCCCAAAAGAGTCCAAGATACCTCCAAGTTCGCCCAAGAGGCCTCCAAGACGGCCCAACACGACCCAACAGGCCTCCAAGAGGTCCTCCAGGAGAACCCGAAGAGTCCAAACTCATTGATGTTCCTTAGGTGTTTGAAGGGTTTTGGCATTTATTTCTTCTCGGCATTCCGACGGCTCAAGACGGCCCAAGGGGCCTCCAAGATCGCCCCAAGATCGCCCACGAGGCCTCCCAGATGGCCCCATGACGGCCCAAGAGCCCCCCAAGACGGCCCCAAGAGGGCCCCAAGAGGCCCAAGATGGCCTCAACATTGCCGAAGACGGCCCAAGAGGCCTCCAAGACGGCCCAAGAGGCCTCCAAGAGGTTCTCCAGAAGGGCCCGAAGAAATCAAAATCATTGATTGTCCTTCGGTTTTTGAAGGATTTGGGCATTTGCTTATTCTCAGCATTCCGACGGCTCAAGACGGCCCAAGAGGCCCCCAAGATCGCCCCAAGATCGCCCACGAGGCCTCCCAGATGGCCCCATGCCGGACCAAGAGGCCCCGAAGACGGCCCCAAGAGGGCCCCAAGAGGCCTCCAAGACGGCCAAGGTGGCCTCCAAGACAACTAAGATGGCCCCAAGATGCCTCCTAGACGGCCCAAGATGCACCAAAGACGGCCTCAGATGGCCTCAAGATGACCCAAGACGGCCCAAGAGGCCCCCAAGAGGCCTCCAAGACGGCCCAAGAGGCCTCCAAGAGGTCCTCCAGGAGGGCCCGAAGAGGCCCAAATCATTGATGTTCATAGAGTGTTTGAAGGATGTTGACATCTGCTTCTTTTCGGCATTCCTACGGCTCAAGACGGCCCAAGAGGCCCCCAAGATCGCTCCAAGATCGCCCACGAGGCCTCCAAAATGGCCCCATGACGGCCCAAGAGGCCCCCAAGACGGCCCCAGGAGGGCCCCAAGAGGCCTCCAAGACGGCCAAGATGGCATCCAAGACGGCTAAGATGGCCCCAAGATGCCTCCAAGACGGGTCAAGATGGCCTCCAAGACGGCCTAAGATGGCCCCAAGATGGCCCAAGACGGCCCAAGGGGCTCCCAGAGGCCTCCAAGACGGCCCAAGAGGCCTCCAAGAGGTCCTCCAGGGGGGCCCGAGGAGGCCAAAATCATGAATATGTCTTAGATGTTTGAAAGATTGCGGCAGTTGCTTCTTTTCGGCCTTCCGACGGCTCAAGACGGCAAAAGGGGCCTCCAAGATCGCCCCAAGATCGCCCACGAGGCCTCCCAGATGGCCCCATGACGGCCCAAGAGCCCCCCAAGACGGCCCCAAGAGGGTTCCAAGAGGCCTCCAAGACGGCCAAGATAGCCTCCAAGACGGCTAAGATGACCCAAAGATGCCTCCTAGACGGCCCAAGATGTATCCAAGACGGCCTCAGATGGCCTCAATATTGCCGAAGACGGCCCAAGAGGCCCCCAAGACGGCCCCAGGAGGGCCCCAAGAGGCCTCCAAGACGGCCAAGATGGCATCCAAGACGGCTAAGATGGCCCCAAGATGCCTCCAAGACGGGTCAAGATGGCCTCCAAGACGGCCTCCCAGATGGCCCCAAGATGGCCCAAGACGGCCCAAGATGTATCCAAGACGGCCTCAGATGGCCTCAATATTGCCGAAGACGGCCCAAGAGGCCTCCAAGACGGCCCAAGAGGCCTCCAAGAGGTTCTCCAGAAGGGCCCGAAGAAATCAAAATCATTGATTGTCCTTCGGTTTTTGAAGGATTTGGGCATTTGCTTATTCTCAGCATTCCGACGGCCCAAGACGGCCCAAGAGGCCCCCAAGATCGCCCCAAGATCGCCCACGAGGCCTCCAAGATGGCCCCATGCCGGACCAAGAGGCCCCGAAGACGGCCCCAAGAGGGCCCCAAGAGGCCTCCAAGACGGCCAAGGTGGCCTCCAAGACGACTAAGATGGCCTCAAGATGCCTCCAAGACGGCCCAAGATGCACCAAAGACGGCCTCAGATGGCCTCAAGATGGCCCAAGACGGCCCAAGAGGCCCCCAAGAGGCCTCCAAGACGGCCCAAGAGGCCCCCAAGATCGCCCCAAGATCGCCCACGAGGCCTCCAAGATGGCCCCATGACGGCCCAAGAGACCCCCAAGACGGCCCCAGGAGGGCCCCAAGAGGCCTCCAAGACGGCCAAGATGGCATCCAAGACGGCTAAGATGGCCCCAAGATGCCTCCAAGACGGGTCAAGATGGCCTCCAAGACGGCCTAAGATGGCCCCAAGATGGCCCAAGACGGCCCAAGATGTATCCAAGACGGCCTCAGATGGCCTCAATATTGCCGAAGACGGCCCAAGAGGCCTCCAAGACGGCCCAAGAGGCCTCCAAGAGGTTCTCCAGAGGGCCCGAAGAAATCAAAATCATTGATTGTCCTTCGGTTCAAAATAAGCAAATGCCGCATTTGCTTCTTCTCAGCATTCCGACGGCTCAAGACGGCCCAAGAGGCCCCCAAGATCGCCCCAAGATCGCCCACGAGGCCTCCAAGATGGCCCCACGCCGGACCAAGAGGCCCCGAAGACGGCCCCAAGAGGGCCTTTGTGGCTGCAGGCGACAGGCTTCACGATGCCTCGACGCCCTCGGCCGGAGGCCGAGAAAGTAGTCTAGGGTGAGGAAGAAACCGGCCAAGAATCGCCTAGGGCGAAGCCCGGCCGGAGTCACCGTACATGGGAAAGCCCAAGCACACTAAAAAGTCCTATCCAGCTCGATACCGAGTCCGGCGAGGAGGGGGAGGGGAGGTGGGGCGAGGCCTACGCCGGGCCCTCTCCGGCAGGGATGGGGGAACAGGAGATAGCTCCCGTGCCCGGCTCTGAGGAGTGCCGACCACCACCGCACCACCACCAGGGGGCGGGGGCGGACGGGGGTCGTCGAAGTCGTCGTCGTCGGCGGAGTCGGGCTCCGCGTCGTCCGCCTCGGCCGCGGCGCCCGCCTGGGCCGGGCCAGGAGGGGGGGCGGAGGGGGGAGGCGCGGGCCGCCGCTTCGGGGGCGGAGCGCCGTCCGGGCCGGCCGCCGCCGGCCGCCGAGCCGCAGGCCCTCTTGGGGCCGGCGCCGCGTAGTCCCATGGCAGGACCTCCAGGATGCGGATGCCGAGCCTGCAGGACATCACCTGCCGCCGAGACCGGGCCTCAGTGGTGGGGCCGGCGATCGCGGTGATCCAGCCACTCTTGGATGTAACCCTGGGCTGGGCAGCCCACCAGGCCTCGGTGACACCATACTCCGAACCAAGGGCGGCGCGGTCGGGAGCGAAGCGGGGGCACTCGGCCCAGAAGTGCCGGGCCGAGGCCGCGACGTGCCCGCAGAACGGGCATGGGGCCCGACCGTGGGATCGGCGCGTCGGGGTGCTGGAAGCCCCACCGCGCCACACCGACAGAAGGCCGAGCTGGTCCTTAGTGAGGCTGTCGCGCCACGAGCTCCACGGGAGCCGGGACGAAGCCTCGATGTCGATGTCGTTCATCCCCTCCTCGTCGTTCCGCTGCGCCTGCAAACGTACCTGAAGCAGCTGGGCGCGCGCGCACACCCGGAGGGTGTGTTGCCCCCGGGGAGAGGAGGCATCGAAGTAGGGCGGGAGGGCGGAGGAGGCCACGATCTCAGCCACGGCGGCCGCGGCCCGCGGGTCGAGAGCAGGCCCGGCGCGAACCCAGACAGGCAGAAGCCCAGGCGAGTCCGGGTGGGAGACCAGCCCGAAGGTGGCCGCGTGATGTGCCACGCACGACCGCCAAAGGGGAGACCGAGGGAAGCGAGCGGCAAGGCGGAGGGCCTGGAGAGAGGTGCCGAGGATGGGGTGGAGCTCAAGGCGCTCGGCCCACCAACGCCGTTGGTCCCACCAGGTGCACCGGGTGCGAGCGACGCACCAGAAGGTGAGCTTGACCAAGGAAGGCGGGGGGCACTCCACGAACGGGACGAACGGGGGGCACTCCACGAACGGGGGCACTCCAAGATCGCCCACGAGGCCTCCAAGATGGCCCCATGACGGCCCAAGAGACCCCCAAGACGGCCCCAGGAGGGCCCCAAGAGGCCTCCAAGACGGCCAAGGTGGCCTCCAAGACGACTAAGATGGCCCCAAGATGCCTCCAAGACGGCCCAAGATGCACCAAAGACGGCCTCAGATGGCCTCAAGATGGCCTCAAGACGGCCCAAGAGGCCCCCAAGAGGCCTCCAAGACGGCCCAAGAAGCCTCTAAGAGGTCCTCCAGGAGGGCCCGAAGAGGCCAAAATCATTGATGCTCATAAAGTTGTTGAAGGCATTTGCTTCTTTTCGGCATTCCGACGGCTCAAGACGGCCAAACAGGCCCCCAAGATCGCCCCAAGATCGCCCACGAGGCCTTCAAGATGCCCCCATAACAGCCCAAAAGGCCCCCAAGACGGCCCAAAGACGCCCCAAGACGGCCCAAGAGGCCTCCCGGATCGCCCCCACAGCGCCCAAGAGGCCTCCAAGATGGCCTCAGGCTGCCCAAGAGGCCCCCAAGACGGCCCCAAGAGGGCACAAAGACGACCCAAGAGGCATCCAAGACGCCCAAGATGGCCTCTAAGATGGCCCTGGAGCACCCCAAGAGGGCCCCAAGTCGGCCCAGAAAGGCCCCCCAAACGGCTTCCGACAGTGTCAGACGGGCCAGGAGCCCACCAAGACGGCCGAAGTTGGCTCGAAGCTGACCCAAGACGGCCCAAGAGGCCTCCAAGAGGGCATCCAGGAAGGCCAGAAAATGCCGAACACACTAATGTTCCTTGGGTGTTCGAAGGATTTTGACATTTGCTTCGTTTCGGCCTTCCGACGGCCCGAGACGGCCCAAGAGCCCTCCTCCTCCTCCTGCTCCTGCTCAGCCTCCCCCGTCCCCTCCTGCACCTGCTGTCATCCCGCACCACATGCATCAAGGCTCGCTCCTCATTGCGAGCGGCGCTGGGGCCGCGACCGTCTCCTGGCCGCCCACCATCGTTCTGCGAATGATGGGGGTCCTGGTCTTGGCCGCCTGGTGGATGCGGAGAGAGGGAAGGTGTGCAGCCGTATCAGGAAGGGAGAGGAGGCAGAGAAGGAGGAGGAGGAGGCGAAGGAGGAGGAGGAGGAGAGAATGAGGAGGATGCAATGGAGAGATGAGGGAAAAGAAGGACAGTAGGAGGAAGAGAAGGAGGAGCAGGAGAGGAGAAGGAGAGGAGAGGTGAGCAGAGGAGAAGAAAAGGAGAAGAGAAGGAGAAGAAAAGGAGAGGAGAAGGAGAGGAGAGGAGAGGAGAGGAGAGGAGAGGAGAGGAGAGGAGAGCAGAGGAGGGCAGAGAAAAGCAGAGCAGTGGAAGAGGAGAGGAAGAGGGGAGGGGAGGAGTGGGGGAAGAGAGGAGAGGAGGAAGAAGAGAGGGTAGGAGAGGAGAAAAAGGAGAAGAAAAGGAGGAGAGGAAGAGGAGAGGAGAGGAGAAGGAGAGCAGAGGAGAGGAGAGGAGAGGAGAGGAGAGGAGAGGAGAGGAGAGGAGAGAGGAGGGGATAGAGATGAGAGAGAGAAGAGAAGAAAAGGAGAGAGGAGAGGAGAGGAGAGGGCGGAAAGGAGATGACAGGAGAGGCGATGGCGAGGCAAGGCGAGGCGATGGGAGAAGAAAAGGGGAGAGGAGAGAAGAGGAGAGGAGAGGAGAGGATAAGAAAAGGAGAGGAGAGGAGAGGAGAGGAGAGGAGAGGACAGAAGAGGAGAGGAGAGGAGGGGATAGGAAAGGAGAGGAGGGGAGACGAGAGGAGAGGAGAGGAGGAGAGGAGAGGAGGAGAGGAGAGGAGAGCCGATCCTCCTCGTCCTCCTCATCCTCCTATTCCTCCTCCTCCTCCTCGACCTCCTCCTCCTCCTCGTCCTCCTCCTCGCGCATCCTCCTCCTCCTCCTCCTCCTCCTCCTCCTCCTCCTCCTCCTCCTCCTCCTCCTCCTCTTGTTCCTCCTCCTCCTGCTCCTCCTGCTCCTTCTCATAAGCATCATCATCCTCCTCCTCTCCCTCATCCTCCTCCTCTTCGTCCTCCTCCTCCTCCTCCTCATTCTCTTTCTCTTCCTCCTCCTCCTCCACCTCCTCCTCTTCTTATCATACTAATGATTAATCTTAGTATTAGTATTACCTTTCTTTTTCGTATTATTAACACTAGTCTTCTTCATCTGATCATCGTGTTTATTCCCAGTATGTGTATGCTTATTGTTAGTGGCAGCCGTCTTCTCACTATTATGGTTACGTCTGTTCATTCGTAGTATTACCCTTCTTAATGGTATGATTACTATTATTATTATCATTACTAATATTATTATTACTATTATTAGTATTATTATTATTCTTATTATTATTATTACTAGTAGTAGTATTAGTGTTCCTCCACGTCCTCCTCTTCCTCCTCTTCCTCCCGCTTCTCCTCCTCCTCCTCCTCCTCCTCCTCAGCATCATCAGCATCATCAGCATCAGCAGCATGATCAGAATCAGCATCAGCACCACCATCATCCTCATCAGTATCATCATCATCATCATCATCATCATCATCATCATCATCATCATCATCATCTCATCCATCATCATCTCAGCATCATCATCGTCATCTCATCATCTTCATCGTCATCAACATCATCAATTATCAGCATCATCTTCTTCATCATCATCATCATCATCATCATCACATCATCGTTCATCATCATTTTCTCATTTCATCATCATACCTCCTTCATCTTCATCATCATCATAATCATCATCATTCATCATGATTCATCATCATCTTCATTTCATCATCATCATCATTCATCATTTCTTCTGCATCTTCTTAATATCAACATCATCTTCAGCAGTCATCGCAAAATCAGCATCAGCACATCGTCATCATCTAGATTCTTCAGCATCATCATCGTCGTCATCATCAGCAGGATCAGCATCAGCATCATCAGATGCATAATCATCATCAGCATCATCAGCATCATAAGCATCATCATCGTCATCTGCATCATCATCATCATCAGCAGCAGCATCAGCATCATCATCATCAGCATCATCATCGTCATCATCATCAGCAGGATCAGCATCAGCAAAATCATCATAATCATCATCAGCATCATCAGCATCATCAGCAGCATCAGCATCATCATCGTCATCTGCATCATCATCATCATCATCATCATCATCATCATCATTAGCATCAGCATCAACGTCATCATCATCATCATCATCATCAGCATCATCAGCAGCATCAGCATCATCATCGTCATCTGCATCATCATCATTAGCATCAGCATCAACGTCATCATCATCATCATCATCATCATCATCATCATCATCACCATCATCATCGAAAGAGCGTGTTCTACCGCTGCTGGCGGAAAACCAGGAGGAGTCACTGGGGGTTCCTAACCCGTCCCCCCCCCTTCGAAAACCGGGAAGGGTTCACTACCAGTTCGAACCACCCCCTCCCCCTCACCGTCCATGAGGAAAAGGGGTGGGATCATTACCCGTTCGAGCCCCCCCCCCTCGCCGCCGGCAAACGATTCCCGCTCCTCGGGACAGTGGGACAGTGGTGGGGACACTGAGAGAGTGGTGAGGAAGGTGGTGGGGCCAGTGGGACAGTGGTGGGTGGTGGGAACGGTGGTGGTGGAAACAGAGGTGAGGGGACAGCGGAACAGTGGTGGGGACACCGGGGACATCGGGACAGTGGTGGGGGCGGTATTGGCGGGGACAGTGGTGAAGGCAGTGGTGAAGACGGTGGTGGGGACAGTGGTACATTGGGGAGAGTGGTGGGGACGGTGGGACAGTGGTGGGGACAGTGGGGACAGTGGGACAGCACAGTGGGACAGCGGCGGGCACAGTGGGACCGTGGTGGGACAATGGCGGGAACAGTGGGGACAGTGAGACACTGGTGGGGGCACTGGTGGGGACAGCGGGGACAATGGTGGGAACAGCGGCGACACTGAGACAGTGTTGGGGACAGTGGGAAAGTGGTGGCGACGGCGGTGGTGGGGACAGTGGTGTGGGGACAGCGGGACACTGGTGAGGACAGTGGGAGCAGTGAGGCAGTGGTGGGGACGGTGGTGGTGGAGACAGTGGTGATGACGGTGGTGGGACAATGGGACAGGGGTGCAGCGGGGGCAATGGTCGGAACAGTGGGGGCAGTGGTGGGAACAGTAGGACAGCTCAGTGGGACAGCGGCGGGGACAGTGGGACAGTGGGGACAGTGGGGACGGTGGTGGGAAAAGTGGGGACAGTGGTGGTGGGGACGGTGGTGCTTGGGACAGCGGTGGGGATTAGGTGCGGACGGTGGGGGCCCGGAAGTCGTTTGCCGGCGGTGAGGGCGGGGGGCTCGAACCGGGTAGTGACCCACCCCGGTTTTCTGAAGGGGGGGGTTCGAACCTGTAGTGACCCCCCCCAGTTTTCCAGAGGGGGGGGGGAGGGGTTAGGGGGGGGGGTGTTTTGCCCGGGGAAGGGGTGGGGGAGGGTGGGGGTCCAGCAGGGGAGGTGGGATTTTCGAAGGGGGGGACCCCAGGGCTCTGGAGGAAGAGGGGGAAGTGTTCCACTGGAAAACGGCGGTGGATCAGGCTCTCATCATCATCATCATCATTATCATCATCATCATCATCACCATCATCATCATCAGCAGCAGCAGCATCATCATCAACATCATCAGCATCAGCATCATCATCACCAGCATCATGGTCATCATCATCACCATCATCAGCATCATCATTATCACCATCACCACCATCATCACCATGACAATCACCATGACCATCACCATCACCATCACCATCAAAAGGTGCTTATACACTACCACCACCACCACCACCACCTTGCTTGGCCAAGGCCGGGGCACGGCGGACGGTGTGAACGTGTCGTCTGCGGATCCTCACCGTCTACCTTTCTTCTCCTCGCCATCGGCCTGGCCCCAGATACGCCCAAGGGAGACTCGGAGACTTCAAGGAGTGCTCAGAAGAGGGTCCCAAGATGGCTCCGAAACGGCCCAGGACGGCCCAGGCCCCCCAAACGGCCACACAGTGCCTCCAGAGGGGCCCATGATGGCCCAACAGAGCCCCGATTCTGCGCAAGACGGCCCTGATGGGGGCACCAAGAGGCATCCAAGACGAGAAAGATGAGGCACCAAGAGGCCTCCCAAATGTCCGTCGAAACCACCCCAAAGCATGAAGGGACCGCACCGAACCGAGAACCGAGAACCGTGACCGAACCGGACCGAACCGGTCCAAAACCAAGAACGTAGAAAACCGAACCGGACCGAACCGAATTCATTCAGAACCGAACCGGCGAGGACCGAACCGAACCAGAACCGGAACCGAACCGGAACCGGGCGGCCCCTGAACCGAACCGACGGGAACCGAACCGAACCCCTTTCCCCTCTGGTCCGGACCCCAGGGCCCCGATGACCCCCAGGACTTCGGGACCCCGATGACCCCAGAACCTCCCGAAGATTCCCACGACCCCTCCTCCTCTTCCTCCTTCTCCTCCTCCTCCTCCTCCTCCTCCTCCTCCGTTTCCTCCTCCTCCCTCCTCCTCCTCCTACTCCTCCTCCTCCTCCTTCCTCCTCTCTCCTCCTCCTCCTCCTAGTACTCCTTCCTCCCCCCCCCCCCCTCCCTTTTCTCCCTCCCCCTTTTACCCCTCCTCCTCTCCTCTTCCTCCGACTCCCCTCTTAACTTCACTAGCCTCTCTCCTCCTCCTCCACCTCTGCCTCCTCCTCCTCTCCCCCCCGGGGTCCTTGGCAAGGACCCCCGGGGCCCCGGGGCCCCAAGGCCCCAGGGCCCAGGACCCCAGGACCCCCAGACCGCGGGACCCCGGGACCCAAGGACCCCCGGGACCCCGTTGGAGCCCGCCACATCCAGCACCGGGCTGGCGGGCGCGCGCAACGACAACGACAACGACGACGACGACGACGACGACGACGACGACGGTCCGCTCAAAATCGGTCCCAGAACCTGTCCTCTTGGAATATATTCCAGCCTGGTGCCAGCAGGTGTGCCCTGTCGGGCCCCCGAAGCCCCCGCGGGGGGCAAAAACAGGAAAACCAAACAAAAAACACCTTCGGACCGACGACGACCGACGACGGCGGCGGCGTCGGCGGGCGCGGGCGTCGGCAAGCGTGCGTCGTCGTCGTCGTCGTCGTCGTCGTCGCCGTCGTCGTCGGGGGGCCGCGGGGGAGCCCCGGGGGGGGCCCTGGCGACCCTCCTGGCAGCCCCCCTGGCGACCCCCCTGGCGACCCGCGACGGCGACGGCGACGGCGGCGGCGACGGCGGCGGCGGCGGCGGCGGCGACAGCTACAGCGACTTCGACCCCCCTCGCGGGTGCGACCCCCCTGGCGGGCGCGCCCTGGCGGGTGCAACCCACCTGGCGGGCGCGACCCCCGTGACGGGCGCGACCCCCCTGGCGGGTGCAACCCCCCTGGCGGGCGCAACCCCCCTGGCGGGCGCAACACCCCTGGCGGGCGCGACCCCCCTGGCGGGTGCGACCCCCCTGGCGGGTGCAACCCCCCTCGCGGGTGCGACCCCCCTGGCGGGTGCAACCCCCCTGGCGGGTGCGACCCCCCTGGCGGGTGCGACCCCCCTGGCGGGTGCAACCCCCCTCGCGGGTGCGACCCCCCTGGCGGGCGCAACCCCCCTGGCGGGTGCAACCCCCCTGGCCCCCCTGGCGGGTGCAACCCCCCTGGCGGGTGCAACCCCCCTGGCGGGCGCAACCCCCCTGGCGGGTGCAACCCCCCTGGCGGGTGCAACCCCCCTGGCGGGTGCAACCCCCCTGGCGGGTGCAACCCCCCTCGCGGGTGCAACCCCCTCTGGCGGGTGCAACCCCCCTCGCGGGTGCAACCCCCCTGGCGGGCGCGACCCCCCTGGCGGGTGCAACCCCCCTGGCGGGCGCAACCCCCCTGGCGGGTGCAACCCCCCTGGCGGGCGCGACCCCCCTCGGGCTGCGACCCCCCTCGGGGCTGCGACCCCCGTCGGGGCACGTCGCTGGAGGGCCTCGCGCCTCCACGCCTCCACGTTTCTCCTCCTGCTCCTCCTCCTCCTTCTCCTCCTCGTCGTCCTCCTCCTCCCTCCTCCGCCTCCGCCTCCGCCTCCTCCCCCTCCTCCTCCTCCTCCTCCTCCTCCTCCTCTCCTCCTCCTCCTCCCCTCCTCCTCCTCCTCCCTTTTTTTCAAACTGGGTCGTCGCTTACGCAGACGGGGCGCCCAACGTCGCACCTGACCAGTCGGGCCGAACCGAACCGGAGCGGCCACTCGAACCGAACCGAACCGGTCGGACCCAACCGCGCGAAAACCGGAACCGAACCGAACCGGCGGCAGGCCCAAGCCGAACCGGCCGAAACCGACCCAACCGAACCCGCCAAACCGAACCGGCCAAGCAAAACCGACCCGGCTGCAGAACCGGACCGAACCGAACCGAGCCGATCCCTTCATGCTCTGGGCGCCAGCGCTCGCGCAAACGGCAGGGGGCGAGCGGCATCTGACAGCGCCTGCGGAAGCGCAATGCGGTCTCCACTTCTGCGCACAGAACCATGGTCACCGCTCCGACTACGTCGAAGGCGTCGTCGAAACGCACGCGCTGCCAAATGCGCAGGCGGCGGTCAGCGGCGAGCTGCTGAGCGGCGCCGTCCACGAGCCTGCAGAGTAGGGGCGCCCCGTCTGCGGGGGGCGGGCCTGCCGCTGCGACGCCGCCGCTGGCGGCCCGCTCGGGGGAATGCCCGGCGCCCCCGCGAGGCGCGAGCGCAGCGGCCACCGCGCAAATCTGCAACGCCAGGAATGTGCGCCACAAGAGTTGGCCATCATCTCGGCGGTTGGGAACAAAAAAAAACCTTGGGCGCAGTCCAGGCGCATCTGGTTTTTCCCCATATCCCAAGATGGGGCTATTGTTATTACTCGGGCGCCGCCGACCCCAGAGAGAACACGCCTATTCATACACAGACTTACTCATACTCAGACCTACTCATACTCATACCTTCACGTGGACTGACTTACTCAACACACAGCATGCAGGCCTACTCATATTCAGACTTCCTCATGCTGGGGCTCCTTCATACCCAGACCTACTCATGCCCAGACTCGCCCCCGGACCTGCTCATACACAGGCTTATTCCTACTCAGACCTACACGCGCTCAGACCTTCTCACAGTCCGAGTCGCTCAACGCACGGACTTAGACCTACTCATACTCAGACCGAAACATAATCAAACTCGCAAAGGGAGCCGCCAGGAATGTTTTCACGGGCCCGTTCGCGGCGAGTTTGTGGGGGTGCCTCATGCGGTTTGCTCGTTTTCGTGCCCAGCATCCTTTGCTGTCAGATCAGAATACCAGGGTGTCTCAGGCGGGGCGCTAGTTTCATCGCCCCAAAGGGGGGCCGCCAGGGGTGTTGTTCACGGGCCCGTTCGCGGCCAAATTGTACGGATGTCTCAAGCCGTTTGCTCGTTTTCATGCCAAACATCCCTTGCTTTTAAAACAACTTGCGTGGGTGTCTCAGGCGGGGCGCCGGTTTCAGCGCCCCTAAAAGGCCGCCAGGTGTGTTTTCACGGGCCCGTTCGCGGCCAGATTGTGGGGGGGTCTCAGGCGGCCTGCTCGCTGCCATGCCCAGCATCCTTTGCTTTCAGAATAGATTGCGAGGGTGTGTCGGGCGGGGCGCTGGCTTCAACGCCCCGAAAGGGGGCCGTGAGGGGTGTTTTTTTTTTCTTTGTGCACGGGCCCGTCCGCAGCCAGTTTGCGGGGATGTCTCATGCGGTTTGCTCGTTTGAATGCCCAGCACCCCTGGCTTGCGAAGCAGATTTGGAGGGCGTCTCAGGCGGGGCGCTAGTTCCAGCACCCCTAAGGGGAGCCGCCAGGGGTGTTTTCACGGGACCGTTCGCGGCCAGTTTGTGAGGGTGTCTCCAGCGGTTTGCTTGATTTCATGCCTAGCACCCTTAGCTTTCAGAGCAGATTGCGAGGGTCTCTCAGGCGGGGCGCTGGTTTCAGCACCCCTGAAGGGAGCCGCCAGGGGGTAGGGCGCGGGCCCGCTCGCGGCCAGAATGTGGGGATGTCTCAGGCGGTTTGCTCGCTGTCATGTCCAACATCCGTGGCTTCCAGGACAGATTTGGAGGATGTCTCTGGCGGGGCGCAGGTTTCAGCATCTCTGGGGAGAACCGCCAGGGGGTAGGGCACGGGCCCGTTCGCGGCCATTTTACGGGGATGTCTCAGGCGGTTTGCCCGTTGCCATGATGCGAGGAAGGAGATGAGGCGCGCTGCTCCCTTGCATGGCTAAGCGCTCATTTTACATATCCCACTGCCAACCACCCTAAACCATATGCACATTGCCGCCGGCTGGGGAGGGCACGGCCCGGCCGCTCAGGAGGGGGAATGAATGGGGGGCTCATATTCAATCATACTCAAAGCTCACATTGGCTCACACCCACTCACTCGCATAAGGACTCGTCTTCGTCGGCCCTGTCGCCCATGTGAACGCGCTATTATAATCAAACGCTCATGAACAGACGCTCGCTATGACATGCCATACAACATGGGATTCGTAGATGGGGAGGTGCTGCACGCAGCGAAGAATCCTGTCGCGTTGCCAACCTCCCCGTCTTGAAGCAGTTTGCAGGCGCGCCCGGCATGCGCGTCGTCAGAGCGTGGTCAATGCCCACCCGAAAGGTGAGCACGCGCGTGGCCGCTGGTTTCTCGCCCACCACGAATAAGCGCTTCAGGATGATGAAAGCAACGACGCGGCGCGCAGCCCCAAAGCGCTCGGCGTTGGGGTCGCAACCGCTGCCGACCACGCGCGTCATAGGTTGCAGACCGCCGTTGAAAAGCTGGCGGCGCTAGTCGGAAATGACGCGCGTCGCGCACAGGGCCTGCGGGCGAGACATGCGATCCCCGTGGTCGGCGTCGCGCCACTCCCATGGCAGGCGCCGCAATGTCCTCCCCGCCCAGTCTCGGATTGCCTCGAGGAGCTGCCCCCAATAGTCTGACGGGAGGTATTTGTGCAACCGCACTGCCGCGCAGCGCAACGTGGCCTGCAAATTGAAGCCGCCGACGTCGCCGAGGTCGGCGATGAGCCCGCGGACTGTGGACCCAGAGATCGGGTTGCTCGAACGGGCCGCGCACCTCATAGCCAGTGGCCAGGAAGTGGGCCGTGCGAGGGCCCAGGGGCGCAGAGCGGAACATAGGCCACAGCAGAGTGACAGCCGCCATGTTGGCGGCAGCCCCGTCCTGCAATATTGCATGGAGGAGCCATGCCCATGGGCTACCCCAGGCGCCCACAGCGCCGCCGCCACCAGCAAGCCCAGCGCTCGCGCAGACTCGGCGCAGCTCGACCTCCAGAGCCGTCTCGAGCGTCTTTACGTTCTTACTAGCCAATGGGGGCCAATTCCGACGGCACGGCAAACTTGTTTTCCCCAGCGCACAACACCAGGACGTTCGCCAACACGTTGGACGCGCGGCCTCGGCGCGGGAGCTCCTGCATGATGGGCGTCTTGCTCCTCAGCCAAAAATCACCGGCGCCCTGGACGTGCATCAGCGCGACGCCGAAGAACCCTGCTGCCTCGCTGCGCGGCCCCGCGCGAGCTGACGCGACCGCGCGGGAGCTGGCCTTCCTGACCTCGTGGTTCAGGGTCTCGACGAAAGCCCCTCGGACCTCGCGCAGAGACGATCGGCCGACCATTGTTTGGTCCACCCCGTGGGCATCTTTGAAGCTGACGGGCACGTCTGGGGCTGCCAGGGCACAGCGAACAACCCATTCGGTCGTGATCCACGCTCCCTTCTTCGCCCCGTGTTTGGCGAAATGTGTTTTAAAACAGGGCTAGGATCGGGATAAATGGCTCCAGAGCGTCCCGGAGCGCTCTCAGAGCGTTCCGGAACGCTCTGGAGCGGCCGCGGCGCCCAATACATCCTCCAAGCCCGCCGATTTTCAGAGATTTCGAGTTATCCCGGTCCGATTTTGTCCCGATCTTCGCGTCGAATATGTTTATAGCTGGGTGATCGTTTTGCCGCGGCGGCCAACAATGGCCTGAAGACTTCTGGCCGAGGTCTCCGTTGCTGGCCGCCACAGGCTGCTTCGGTTTCGCCTTGTCCCGGCCCGTCCCCAGGGCGAGTCGCGGGCTCCCCTGTGGAAGTCCGCTCCCTCCGCCTCTGACCCAGGTGCCCGAATGACTGCACACTGGCCCCCTCCAGAATCCGCCGATCCGGCGTGTGAGTTGAGGAACTTTAAGCTGAAGCTCTGCTTCAGCCTGAGCTGTGGCTCTGCTCGGGAGGGGTGGGGGGGTGGGGGGACCTCATTAACTGACGGAGTCAATGCTCAGCACCTCCCCCCCTTGCCAGCCCCCAGGAGAGAGGGGAGGGGGAAAGGAGAGAGGGGGAGGGGGAGAGGGGGGGTGTGGACAGGAGAGAAGGGGGATGGGGGGGACAGGGGAAAGGGGGAGGGATGGGAAAGGGGGGACGGGGGGGGGACAGGAGAGAGGGGGGGGGGACAGGAGAGAGAGGGGGGGACAGGAGAGAAGGGGGGGGGGAAGAGGGGGGAGGACAAGAGACAGGGGGGTGGGGGGGACAGGAGAGAGGAGTGGGGGGATGCGGAAAGGAGAGAGGGGGGGGGGGGAAAGAGACAGGAGAGAAGGGGGGGGGAAAGGAGAGAAGGGGGGGGGCTGACAGGAGAGAGGGGGGGAGAGAGAGGGGGGGGGGACCAGGAGAGAGGGGGGGGGGACAGGAGAGAGGGGGGGGAAGGAGAGAGAGGGGGACAGGAGAAAGGGGGGGGGGACAGGAGGGAGGAGGGGAGGTGGGGGGGGGCCTTGATCATCACCATCTCCATCACCATCACCATCACCATCACCATCGTCACATCACCACCATCATCATCATCCAGAGCGCCCCGGATCGGCGGCACTGGCCGGAGGCCACTACAATATCAAGAGCCGCAGTGGTCTGCGAGTGATCGAACCCTCGCCTCGCCGAGCATTGATGGCACTTCGAGCCCGGGCGTACAGGCTCCTCAACCGAGTGAACACCCTTGGACGGGGAGGGCCATCAGCAGAAGGAGGTTGCATGGGGCCACGCTCCAACACGAACCTGACGAGCCGACGGCCACGGATGTGATGGCGCTACGGCTACGATAGTTATCGGGCTACCGACTACGGGACGCGGAACAGAGCTTGTCGATGCCGCGCCGAACTCCTGCGCAAACGCTGGGGCCACATCGAAGCCACCAGCAAACCGCGCGCTCACCCGCTACCGACCTTGCTGTCCGAGGCCCACCGCGGAAAACCCGACGACCAGAAAACCGCGGGCCGCGGCGGCGCGCCGAAGGCCTCTCGAGGCCCAGGCCAGCGCCGCCGAGAACTCCGAGCCGAATCCAGCCGGCGAGGAGAGCGCCCGCACGTTGCCCACATGAAAAGCCCGCAGGCCGAAGTCCCACGACGAGCCGCGCGGAAGCGGTTCGCCTGGGCCACGCGAGGCCCAGGCCGACGCCGCGGGGGGGTGACGACGATGATGGTGAATGGTGACGCGAAAGATGTTGATGATAGGGCGGACGAAGGATGGTGGCGGTTGGGCCCCCGAGGGCGCAAACCCGCTCAGAGTGAATCCCCAGAGACCTCCTGGGGAGGGCTCGCCAGCTTATCGATCCGCGCCACCCATGGCGACGAGGAAAGCCTCCGAAGACAAGAAAACCTCGAGCCTCGAACCTTCGATCCTCCAGGCTCGAAGATGGACATCGCCTGCCGTCCAGGCGACGCACAGCGGCTCCAGAATCTATGCGAAATCCTCCACCATGCCCCAACATGGGAAACAAGCAGGGAGTCTTGCGAACCTATCCACTCGGGGGGGGAAGAGCGGGACCCAAGCGGAACATACATAACCCGACAAGAAAACGTCGTAACGGCACGGCACGGAATCGTAACAACACGGCGTCGTAACGGCACGGCGACGCAACGGAAAGACCGTCATGGGAAACCCTCGAAATAATTCTGGCCGCGAGGCGGCGGACGCGCGCGGGGATGGGGACCGGGTCCCGCCCTCCTCGTTCTCGTCGTTATCGTCGTCGCCGTCGTCGGCCGTCGGTCGTAAGTCGTCGGTCGTGGGGCGTCGGTTGTCGGTCGTCGGCGTCGGTCGCGGGGCGTCGGTCGTCGGTCGTCGGGTCGTCGGTCGTGGGGCGTCGGTCGTCGGTCGTCGGCGTCGGTCGCGGGGCGTCGGTCGACGGTCGCCGGTCGTCGGTCGTCGCCTTCTCCCGCCTCCTCCCCATCCTCCTCCTGCTCTCTCCTCCTCCGACTCCTCGGCCTCGTCGTCGACGTCCTCACCCCTCTCCTCGCCACGCCTCCTCCACCGCAGCCTCATCCACCTCGCAGTGTCCTTTCCCCCTCAGAGGCGTGGATGGCGGACGACCGAGGGGCCTCGACGCATCGCGGCTGCGACACCGCGCGAATCAGGAGGCCGCAGCGCAAAGCAAAAGCGCAAGAGACAGAGCGAGAGAGAGAGAGAGAAAGCAAGAGAAAGGAAGCGCAACGGTGAAACCACGTTGAAAACATGCGCGCGCATGCGCACCCCAGCCAAACGACGCGATCGCGCGCTTCCCAGCAAGTGGCCACATGTAAGGGGGCGACCAGGAGAAGCGACTGGAGGACACAGGCGCAAATAAAACAACTCCGTGGTGAAGCGCGGATCAATGCGGATCATGGCGCGAAGCAACAGGGATGGGGGGGCGCGGAGCAGTACGAAGAAATACGGAGCAGGACAAGTAGAAGAAGGGAAGGCGAATAAGGACTTATTGAGGTCCCCGGGATCGGCCGCATAGCTCACCCAGAGCTGGTTGCAATCGAAACGTGTGGGACGCCCAATCGGCACGAGCTCGAGATCTGACGCAGTTCCGAAGCGAGACGAGGCGACACCGGGCGCAAGGCGCATGGACGCGCCAGAAGATGTGCCAGGGACGCACAAGGGAATGCGCCAGGGGACATGTCAGGGGATGTGGCAAGGGACGGGCCACGGAACGGGCAGGGAACGCGCCAGGAGACAAGCCAGGGAACGCGACACAAGACGAGTCAAGGGACGCGCCGAATTGCTAAGGGCATACGCCGTTCCGCTCTGGGGCGGTAGGAACCCATGTGTTTTCACGGTTGTCCCACCCTGGGGCGTTAGGAACCCATGCGTTTTCACGCGTGTCCCGCTCTGGGGCGCCAGGAACCCGCGTGGTTTCACGCGCTCCCCGGGCTTAAGAACATATGTGGTTTCGCGCGTGTCCCGCCCAGGAGCTTTTTCAGAACCCACATGTTGTCACGCTTGTGCCGCTCTGGGGCGTTCGAACCAATGTGGCTTCACGCTTATCTCGCTCTGGGGTGTCAGGATCCCACGTGTTCCCGCTTGCCCCGCTGTGGGGGGGGCGTTGGAAACCATGTGTTTTCACGCTTGTCCCGCTCGGAGGCGTTAGGAACCCAAGTGTTGTCACGCCTGTCCCGCTCTGGGACGTTAGGAATGATGTGTTTTCGCGCGTGTCCCGTTCTGGGCTGTCAGGGACCAATATATTGTCACGCTTGTCCCTCTCTGGAGCGTTTAGAACCCGAGGTGTTTTCCTGCTTGTCCCGCCCTGGGGCGTTACGAATCCAAGTGTGCCATGCTTGTCCCACTCTGGAACGTTCAGAAACCCACGTATTGTCAAGCTTGCCCCGCCCTGGGGAATCAGGATCCTACGTGTTTTCACGCTTGCCAAGCTCTGGGGCATCAAAAACCTACGTGGTTTCACGCGTGTCCCACTGTGGGGCGTTAGAAACCATGTGTGTTCACGTTTGTTCCGCTCTGGGGCGTTTAGGAACCCACGTGGCTTCACGTTTGTCCCGCTTTAGGACGTTAGGAACACCACGTGGTTTCACGCTTGCCCCGCTCTGGGGCGTTAGGAACCTACGTGGTTTCACGCGTGTCCCGCCGGGAGGCGCTTAAGAACCCCGGAGTTCTCACGCTGGTCCCGCTCTGGGGCATTACGTAAGAGCCCACGTGATTTCAAACTTGTCCCATTATTGGGCATTAAGATCCCGCGTTTTCCCGCTTGCCCCGCTGTAGGGCTTTAGGAACACACGTGTTTTCACGCGTGTCCCGCTCTGGGGCGTTAGGAACCCATGTGTTTGCAC